ACCCTGCTTCCTGATGACAATGTAGATCCCCGAGGCCTTTTTGATAAGCTAAGACTCAAATATGACAGCAGGGCCCGCGATGCTTTGCGTTCTCTAAGAGATAGTTTCAAGTCTAAGAATCCATACGAACCCGTCCCAGAGTATCTACAAATGGATGACTTGGATCTCACGGACGCAAGGACTGAAATATTAAGAGAAGTCATCGACAACGTAAGGCAGCGATATCCTAGCGCAAAACTGGCTCTCTTAGAGTTCGGAGTAGGAGATAAAGGCCAAATCCAAATTCGATACGCAGGTAGAGAAAAATGGTCATCTTTAATCAAAGAAAGGAGCCTACCTTACTTAACAACGCTCTTTCGAAAGAAATAACGGCAGCGTTGGGAAATCCTAACATAACGCTGTTGTCTACCTTGACTAAAAAGGAAACTACGAGGCTCCAAGAAGAATTCCTTAAGAGCGTCAAGATGCCAAGTGCTAAAGCAAGCCTTGAATYTATGAATGCATTACTTAATAAACAACGAGAAAAACTCCAACGATTAGAAACCGTCAAAGGGGAAAAGAGTGAAGAACTCAAAAAACTTCCGCCAAATAGTGACGCGACTGGAGGCTTGGTGAGTTACTTACAAAACGCAAGAGCCGAAAGGGAAGCACTTCAAAAGGAAATACAGGAAAATAACATAACCATCAACGACCTTACGCGACAACTCGACGAAGCAACCAAGGAAGGGGGTGGTATCGATAGTCGCTTCGAAGCCGTCCAGGAGGAAAACCAAGCATTGCAGGGGCGCATAGAAGAATTAGAAGACGAATTCATAAAACAAGGTAGGCTAACTAGTGCGAGTCATACCGCCGAAATTGCTGACTTTAAAGCTAGGCTCTCTAAGCTAGTAGAAGAAAAGTCTAGAGCAAGGAAGCAGCTAAAGATTGCGGTGAATGAAGCGGCGGGGAAAGATGCAGAACTACAGCGCTTGGGAAAAGAATTAATGGAGTCTGTTGACAGAGAAAGGAAAGTCATGGCGGACAAGGCAGTGGCGGAGGAACGAATACGACAACTTCAACAGGCCGTCGAAGACTTGGAGGGGCAAATAGA